TATATATATTATTAAATATGACCGAAAGAGAAAAGATTAATAATTCTAACACGAATTTTCTCAATCTTTCGTACATTTCTTTTCACTGTTGGAGGTAAATCAAAAATCAATTCAAATCAATATATATATATATATATATATATATATATATATATATATATATATATATATATATATATATATATATATATATATATATATATATATATATATATATATATATATATATATATATATATATATATATATATATATATATATATATATATATATATATATATATATATATATATATATATATATATATATATATATATATATATATATATATATATATATATATATATATATATATATATATATATATATATATATATGCAAACAAGCCTGAATGGTCCCCAGGCATATGTGCAACTCCACACCACGGAAGTGACTCGCAACTGGTGTACAGGAGACCTTAACCACTCGACCAACAGTGACCGTACAAAAGATGATGGTAGCCATGGCTATTTGCCCATCATCCCGACGGCAGTTTGATGATAATTTTGGGCATAGTTATTATATCAAATCACCTCACTTTGTAGGGCCACGTGTGCAACACAAATGCAAACAAGCCTGAATGGTCCCCAGGCATTTATGTAACTGAAAACTCCACAACCCAGAAGTGACTCGAATCATACTTCCAGGAGTACTATGCAATTGGTATACAGGACACCTTAACCACTCGACCATTAGTGACCATACAAAAGATGATGGTGATGGTCAAACAACAGGGCTCCATCAAGGAACATATAATCTCTTCTCACAACCAGACCATCAAAAGAGAAATCTTAACAAGCAACACAGAAATCATCGATAGATACAGCGATAGCAGGAGACTCAATATCAGCTAGGCCCTACACATCAAAAAGTCAACACCAGCAATCAAGAGCCAATTAATGCATAACTATATTCTACCCACTTCTAGTCGCCGAACCAACACAGAAGCTGCAAGAGAAAATATGGGTCAATAGGCCTTCTTTAGTTACTTTCATTCCTATGTTTTCATATCCAATTTATACCCATTGATTCGTGTTCACCCACCTCACCCAAAAACATTTGTGTCATATGACCTCACCAAAAACGAATATAAACATGATATATGATGTGTGTAAACCTGTCTTTGAAAATGTAAAAAGCCCTTGCAAAACGCTTTTAGGCGTCAGACCATGAATTAAAAATGAGAAAATAAACTTTGGAGAGTTAATATTTCAATTACCCCCGACAGTGAAGAAAAGCGTAAGAAATATTGAAAAGATTCGTGTTAGAATCATTAATCTTACCTTTTCAATCATATTCAACAACATATGTTTATAAGAAAGACTGCTACCAAAATACACTAATGTATATATATATATATATATATATATATATATATATATATATATATATATATATATATATATATATATATATATATATATATATATATATATATATATATATATATACCTAGTAGCCAGAACGTCGTACTCGGCCTACTATGCAAGGCCTGATTTGCCTAATAAGTTTTCATGAATTAATGGTTTTTTGACTACCTAACCTAACCTAACCTTACTTTTTCGGCTACCTAACCTAACCTAACCTATAAAGAGAGGTTAGGTTAGATTAGGTAGGGTTGGTTAGGTTCGGTCATATATCTAAATTAATTTTAACTCCAATAAAAAACAATTGACCTCATACATAATGAAATGGGCAGCTTTATCATTTCACAAGAAAAAAATTAGAGAAAATATATTAATTCAGGAAAACTTGGCTTATTAGGCAAATCGGGCCTTGCATAGTAGGCTGAGAAGTGCGTTCTAGCTACTAGGTACGACATATATATATATATATATATATATATATATATATATATATATATATATATATATATATATATATATATATATATATATATATATATATATATATATATATATATATATATATATATATATATATATATATATATATATATATATATATATATATATATATATATATATATATATATATATATATATATATATATATATATATATATATATATATGTCGTACCTAGTAGCCAGAACGCATTTCTCAGCCTACTATGCAAGGCCCGATTTGCCTAATAAGCCTAGTTTTCATGAATTAATTACTTTTCGACTACCTAACCTACCTAACCTAACCTAACCTAACTTTTTCGGCTACCTAACCTAACCTAACCTATAAAGATAGGTTAGGTTAGGTTAGGTAGGGTTGGTTAGGTTCGGTCATATATCTACGTTAATTTTAACTCCAATAAAAAAAATTGACCTCATACATAATGAAATGGATAGCTTTATCATTTCATAAGAAAAAAAATAGAGAAAATATATTAATTCAGGAAAACTTGGCTTATTAGGCAAATCTGGCCATGTATAGTAGGCTGAGAAGTGCATTCTGGCTACTAGGTACGACATATATATATATATATGTATATATATATATGTATATATATATATATATATATATATATATATATATATATATATATATATATATATATATATATATATATATATATATATATGTCGTACCTAGTAGCCAGAACGTACTTCTCAGCCTACTATGCAAGGCCCGATTTGCCTAATAAGCCAAGTTTTCATGAACTAATTGTTTTTCGACTACCTAACCTACCTAACCTAACCTAACCTAACTTTTTCGGCAACCTAACTTAACCTAACCTATAAAGATAGGTTAGGTTAGGTTAGGTAGGGTTGGTTAGGTTTGGTCATATATCTACGTTAATTTTAACTCCAATAAAAAAAAATTGACCTCATACATAATTAAATGGGTAGCTTTATCATTTCATAAGAAAAAAAATAGAGAAAATATATTAATTCAGGAAAACTTGGCTTATTAGGCAAATCGGGCCGTGTATAGTAGGCTGAGAAGTGCGTTCTGGCTACTAGGTACGACATATATATATATATATATATATATATATATATGTCGTACCTAGTAGCCAGAACGCACTTCTCAGCCTAATATGCAAGGCCCGGTTTGCCTAATAAGCCAAGTTTTCCTGAATTAATATATTTTCTCTAATTTTTTTCTTATGAAATGATAAAGCTACCCATTTCATTATGTATGAGGTCAATTTCTTTTTATTGGAGTTAAAATTAACGTAGTTATATGACCGAACCTAACCAACCCTACTTAACCTAACCTAACCTATCTTTATAGGTTAGGTTAGGTTAGGTAGCCGAAAAATTTAGGTTAGGTTAGGTTAGGTAGGTTAGGTAGTCGAAAAACAATTAATTCATGAAAACTTGGCTTATTAGGCAAATCGGGCCTTGCATAGTAGGCTGAGAAGTGAGTTCTGGCTACTAGGTACGACATATATATATATATATATATATATATATATATATATATATATATATATATATATATATATATATATATATATATATATATATATAAATATATATATATATATATATATATATATATATATATATATATATGTATATTTATATATATATATATATATATATATATATATATATATATATATACATATATATATATATATGTCGTACCTAGTAGCCAGAACTCACTTCTCAGCCTACTATGCAAGGCCAAATTTGCCTAATAAGCCTAGTTTTCATGAATTAATGTTTTTTCGACAACCTAACCTACCTAACCTAACCTAACTTAACGTTTTCGGCTACTTAACCTAACCTAACCTATAAAGATAGGTTAGGTTAGGTTAGGTAGGGTTGGTTAGGTTCGGTCATATATCTACGTTAATTTTAACTCCAATAAAAACAAATTGACCTCATACATAATGAAATGGGTAGCTTTATCATTTCATAAGAAAAAAATTAGAGAAAATATATTAATTCAGTAAAACTTGGCTTATTAGGCAAATCGGGCCTCGCATAGTAGGCTGAGAAGTGAGTTCTGGCTACTAGGTACGACATATATATATATATATATATATATATATATATATATATATATATATATATATATATATATATATATATATATATATGTATATATATATATATATATGTCGTACCTAGTAGCCAGAACGCACTTCTCGGCCTACTATGCAAGGCCCAATTTGCCTAATAAGCCAAGTTTTCCTGAATTATTATATTTTCTCTAATTTTTTTCTTATGAAATGATAAAGCTACCCATTTCATTACGTATGAGGTCAATTTTTTTATTGGAGTTAAAATTAACGCAGATATATGACCGAACCTAACCAACCCTACCTAACCTAACCTAACCTATCTTTATAGGTTAGGTTAGGTTAGGTAGCCGAAAAAGTTAGGTTAGGTTAGGTTAGGTAGGTTAGGTAACCGAAAAAAACAATTAATTCTTGAAAACTTGGCTTATTAGGCAAATCGGGCCATGCATAGTAGGCTGAGAAGTGCGTTCTGGCTACTAGGTACGACATATACATATATATATACATATATATATATATATATATATATATATATATATATATATATATATATATATATATATATATATATATATATATATATATATATATATATATATATATATATATATATATTCAATAATAATAATATATAAAAATTGTCCGTACCCATCTTGGTCGTAAAAGGGACGCATCTTCCTTTCTATATTTGAGAAGTCCAATTCTTCTCATTGTCAATAAAACGAACTTTATAAGTCACTTGAAATTTGATCGCGATTGTCAGAGAGAGAGGAAGATCCATTAGTAATGTGAGGAGGCTATTTTTTACCGTTACTTAATTTTTACCGATTCAATCCCTGCCTTTTCATGACAAATATTATTTCCACGAAGTGTGACGATCTTCAAATGTGGGGCCTTCTTAAGAGACGAAATGTCAAGCTGCGTATTTCTCTGGGCGTTGAGATTTTTTTCTTTAATGGTTCAGTCGCTCCCTGGTGGAATTTGCATCCTACTGCATTAGGGAAGGGTTGTGTAGACGGGAGGAAAGGGGGGATGGGAAAGGTACAAGGGGGATTGTGAGAAGCGTAGATGGATATGGAAAATTTAAGATTCATGGGGATGTGGACGATACTGCAACTGGGGGATAGGTTGGGGCAGCAGTGGTTAGTTGTTGTGTGGGTGATAAGGGGGTAGAGCATTGTGGATGGGTAGGGGGTTAAGGGGCAAAGGGGTAGGGGGGTTGTGGTTGCTCAGAGTAGGAAAAGGCAGACGTTTTATGAATGTTGCTTCAGTTTGTAAGGAACTTCTGTCCATCATACTTTTGGATTACTCCAGTCACTGAGGCAAAGGCAATTATTCACTCTCCAGCCAAACCAATTTCTTATAACTAAGGGCCAAGAAATAGCGGAGTGGTGTCAAGAAACAGCGGAGTTGTGCCAAGAAACAGCGGAGTGGTGCCAAGAAACAGCGGAGTGGTGCCAAGAAACAGCGGAGTGGTGCCAAGAAACAGCGGAGTGGTGCCAAGAAACAGCGGGGTGGTGCCAAGTAACAGCGGAGTGGTGCCAAGAAACAGCGGAGTGGTGTCAAGAAACAGCGGGGTGGTGTCAAGAAACAGCGGGGTGGTGCCAAGAAACAGCTGAGTTGTGCCAAGAAACAGCGGAGTGGTGCCAAGAAACAGCGGAGTGGTGCCAAGAAACAGCGGGGTGGGGCCAAGAAACAGCGGAGTGGTGCCAAGAAACAGCGGGGTGGTGTCAAGAAACAGCGGGGTGGTGTCAAGAAACAGCGGAGTGGTGCCAGGAAACAGCGGAGTGTTGTCAAGAAACAGCGGGGTGGTGCCAAGAAACAGCGGAGTGGTGCCAAGAAACAGCGGAGTGGTGCCAAGAAACAGCGGAGTTGTGCCAAGAAACAGCGGAGTGGTGCCAAGAAACAGCGGAGTGGTGCCAAGAAACAGCAGAGTTGTGCCAAGAAACAGTGGAGTGGTGCCAAGAAACAGCGGAGTGGTGCCAAGAAACAGCGGGGTGGTGTCAAGAAACAGAGGGGTGGTGTCAAGAAACAGCGGGGTGGTGCCAAGAAACAGCGGAGTGGTGTCAAGAAACAGCGGGGTGGTGTCAAGAAACAGCGGAGTGGTGTCAAGAAACAGCGGAGTGGTGTCAAGAAACAGCGGAGTGGTGTCAAGAAACAGCGGGGTGGTGTCAAGAAACAGCGGAGTGGTGCCAAGAAACAGCGGAGTGGTGTCAAGAAACAGCGGGGTGGTGCCAAGAAACAGCGGAGTGGTGTCAAGAAACAGCGGAGTGGTGTCAAGAAACAGCAGGGTGGTGCAAAGAAACAGCGGAGTGGTGTCAAGAAACAGCGGAGTGGTGTGAAGAAAACGCGGAGTGGTGCCAAGAAACAGCGGAGTGCTGCCAAGAAACAGCGGAGTGGTGTCAAGAAACAGCGGAGTGGTGCCAAGAAACAGCGGAGTGGTGTCAAGAAACAGCGGAGTGGTGTCAAGAAACAGCGGGGTGGTGCCAAGAAACAGCGGAGTGGTGTCAAGAAACAGCGGAGTGGTGCCAAGAAACAGCGGAGTGGTGCCAAGAAACAGCGGAGTGGTGTCTAGAAACAGCGGGGTGGTGTCAAGAAACAGCGGAGTGGTGTCAAGAAACAGCGGGATGGTGTCAAGAAACAGCGGAGTGGTGTCAAGAAACAGCGGGGTGGTGTCAAGAAACAGCAGAGTGGTGTCAAGAAACAGCTGGGTGGTGTCAAGAAACAGCGGGGTGGTGCCAAGAAACAGCGGAGTGGTGTCAAGAAACAGCAGGGTGGTGTCAAGAAACAGCGGGGTGGTGCCAAGAAACAGCGGAGTGGTGTCAACAAACAGCGGGGTGGTGCCAAGAAACAGCGGAGTGGTGTCAACAAACAGCGGGGTGGTGCCAAGAAACAGCGGAGTGGTGTCAAGAAACAGCGGGGTGGTGTCAAGAAACAGCGGAGTGGTGTCAAGAAACAGCGGGGTGGTGCCAAGAAACAGCGGGGTGGTGTCAAGAAACAGCAGAGTGGTGCCAAGAAACAGCGGAGTGGTGTCAAGAAACAGCGGGGTGGTGTTAAGAAACAGCGGAGTAGTGTCAAGAAACAGCCGGGTGGTGTCAAGAAACAGCGGAGTGGTGTCAACAAACAGCGGGGTGGTGCCAAGAAACAGCGGAGTGGTGTCAAGAAACAGCGGGGTGGTGTCAAGAAACAGCGGAGTGGTGCCAAGAAACAGCGGGGTGGTGTCAAGAAACAGCGGAGAGGTGCCAAGAAACAGCGGGGTGGTGTCAAGAAACAGCGGAGTGGTGCTAAGAAACAGCGGAGTGGTGCCAAGAAACAGCGGAGTGGTGCCAAGAAACAGCGGAGTGGTGCCAAGCATCCCAGTCAATCTTTGCCTGACAATACATATATAAGTCTATCGTTCATATTCCAGACACTGAGACCTTAAATCTGAACTGTGACTTGTGTGATCAATTCACAGCCAATAAATTTTGCCAATCTGTTCACCAGCACACGAATGGGATTAGAAAAATTACATTATATTACAAATATACTTCACGTACTGTCAACAAAGCCTTCATGCTTTTGTTGAGTTTACGCTTAATAATGTACAAGCAATTTTTGTGCAGCGATATCGACTCCCATGAGGCTCCAGTTCATACCAGTGTTCACCTTTGTACTATGAAGCTTTACATTGGACTTTTATGAATACATTAAGCAAAAAAAAAAATTATGTTTCCTTGGTAGCGGTCACGGATGCAATCCGCGAAATTAGGCTATTGGTGGAGATTCAATGACAAACTCTCAGTTACTTTCCAAATAGTCATCGCTCCAGATAATGGCTGTTCAGGCTCCGGGCCATGATTCAACAAAAATTTTATTTCTCGTAGAATCATAGGCCATGATTCTATGAACCACGAGACTGTCCATAGCAATATTAATGACCTCGCAGCGTTTCGAAGCTCGTAATGTTTCATAAGTACAGACTAAGTCTCCACGACTGACAAATGATGAACAGGTGGACACTAAAATGCTTTAGAGTAGAGAAGATCAGGCAGCACAACCTTGGTGCCACATAGCCCCACCTATGTATGGCAATCAGATAAGAAAATCAGAAGCAGAAGGGGAGCCACATAGTGCCACTCCATATTAGGTCACCCAAGGTGTGAGTGGTAGCAGTCGAAAAAAACAGTGAAGATAGGTATCTATTATGGACCACTATGTTCATGTTCATTTACAGTAAAGTAGCCACCTATGAAGGGCAATCAGATAAGAAAATCAGAAGCGGAGTGCCACTTAGAGCCACTCCATATTAGGTCATCCAAGGTGTGGGGCAGCAACAGTCGTAAAAACAGTGAAGATAGGTATCTATTATGTGCCGCTATGTTCATGTTCATGTTCATTTATACAGAAAAGTATGACAGTATATTTAAGTAAAAAAAAATGAATTTATTTGTATAATAAACACTCAGGTGAGCGGCAGTTACGCCCCCACTTCCCTCTATGGGACAGGTGTAAAAACAGGATCCTCTCAGTAGGGGTGGTCCCCCCCCTCACCACCCTTCCTCGTACTTGATGACCTTGAGTGTACCGTAAGAGGGACCCACCTCCCTTAGTTGTTTTTAAGTTGGTTATATTTTAAGCTTTTATACTTAAAGAAGGAGAAAAAGAAATAATCCTGATGATTTATAGATTATATTATCAAAGTACATAGGGTTAAACATAGTCGTATTGTAGGTCATCTCCCCCCACATAATATTTACTAACAAGGGCCCTCCTCCGTGCCCACAGGTCCGTTGTGGGGTCTTCCTCCCCCCCCCCTCCTCCTCCTGGGACGAAGATGATGACTCATCATCTCCCAGAGAGTGAATGGGTTGTAGTGGGCCTCCCTCAGGTGACTGACTGCTGACGTCATAGGGTTCACTCTCGCTGGTGGGGCGTTGTCCTTCCTCTCCTTGTGGTTCAATGACGTCACCACCTTCACTCTCGGTGGACATTCCTTGGGCTGAGGTGTTGGGGTGGGGATCCGATGGTATGTCTGGGTGATCATACGCTAGGCTTGTGTATTTATTTAGGTAAAAGTGCTTATCATCAAATGCACTTAAACCCCTCTTAGTGTTGAATGTGGTTGCCATCTGCCCCCCTATATTCCTTATTTGTGAATAATTGAAAGTATTTACTACCCCATTGCTGTGTAGAGTCTCTTTAAAGTGGTTATGTGTTAAAGATCTTTGCACAGCTCGGGGAATACCCTTAGCGGTGATGGAATTTTTATTGTCAAGCAAAAGCACACTATACATTTTGGGCTTGAGTGCCACAACTTCAAGGATGTGTTTATCTGATACCTCTGACTTTAACAGCCCTAAAACACCCTTTTTAGAAGGATCATACAAGGGGTGAGTTTCAGGAAAATTACTCGTATCCATCCACAAACTAAGGGGTTCTTTCCCCATCTCATTAAAGACATCTTCAGCTAGTAAGCTGAAAATGAAACTGTCTGTATCACTATACAGCAGTTGTACCCTATCTGAATAGTGGTTCTTAAGTACCCTGTACCAAAAATGGTACAAACTGTATTTTGCTAGCTCAAGAATCTGGAACCCAATGTAATTAGGATGAGTAATTTTAATGAATGGTCTGGAACTGACAGACAATAATTTATTGTCACCTAAATGCACCATACGTTTAAAGCGAGGATTCTTCACCTCTCGTAAAAAGACCCTAGCTGAAGTCACTAGTTTGGTGTCAATGGCATAACGGGCTGGGTTCAGTAGTGTTTTACCAAAAACACTGTTCGTCAGTAATTTGAAGAGTGTTTTCCTATCGTTACTGGTGGAGGCATTTCTATTGTTAACGTTGGTGTTAACAAATTCTGCCATAAAATCTGACTGACGGAACTCGTAAATTGCATGTATTGTTTCCACTTCAAGTCCTATCTCAATAAATAGTTGTAAAAGGTGAAGAGATATGAAATAATGTTTCTTGGGGAGATGATCTCCAACCAGTTTAATATTTTTTTTAGGGAGATTTGTAATGTTATTTGTTTCCAGAAGTCCCCTACTAAATGGTGAGATATCCTCCATACTTATTCCCCTATGGTGTAAACAAAGGGGTAGATCGTCTGTTAGTCTAGCTATTTCAGGTCTTATGTGTTTGGTGTCAATTAAGAGCCAGTACCCTTTGTTAGAAGAGAATGGCTGTTCTGTCATTATCTTCCCTCCGCTAATGAAGGAGTTCATCTCATCAGATGATAGTCTCCTTAGTCCCCCATAGGGCAATTTCTTAGTCATACAACTCCCATAGAGGGAGTTGAAGTCTAGATACAGTAAGAATGAAGACCTATCCTCCTGGGGGTTAAAAGATCGGTTGACATAGCGGTTGTTAGCTCTGACATAACTCCTAACTGCAGTTGTAAAATCCCCTCGTATGTTTTGTGATAAGAGATTGTGCAACATCACATCTGCACTTAACTCCAACGATATTTTGCTACTTTTCAGGAAGCAGTCGTAGGAGTACCCTGGGAGGCTACAATAGTGTGTCAATTCTAAAGAATATATATCATTTAGAATTGCCCTGTGGTGTGTAAAAATGTCAGCCAGTAATCCTACATCACACCTCAAATAAATGAGGAGGTAGTCTTTTAATGTCCTACACCCTGTAGCCTCCCATACTAATTTAGAATGTCTATATTCTTCCAAAGTTATACCTGATTTGTTTAGGGAGCTGTAGAACATTTCAATAGGAGGGAATGTTGTGTCATTAAAGCAGCTGATTTTTGTGGTATATTCATAAGGGAAAAACTGCTTACCCTTTAAGAGTAGGTGGTGACTCTTTTTGGGCAAACCTTCTATCATTGAGTGAGTGAATGTTAAGGGGCTGGCTGAATCAATGTGGGTCTTTGCTAGGGATGAAAGACTACCTGTAATAAAAGCCAGTGAATCAAGAAATTTAAGCTTCCCTATTTCTACCTTAAGATATTTCGTCCCCTGTCTCATGAGGATATTGCTCTTAATATTTGAACCCATGGCAAACTCCCTCAAAATTAAGCCCATGTCATAAGACATATTATGAGCAATTAGGACTAAACTCTCTAGAGCATTCTTGTGGCGGAGGTTGCAGTAATTACATAGAGCTCCAATATAATTGAGTTTTTCCCTAAGGTGATCATGATGTTGAACCTTGAAATTGGAGGGGGTAAATACCTCCTCACAAAACTGGCAGTGAGTCTGTCTCCTAAAATGGATCATATCCTCAAGAGACATGTCTATTTCATAATGGGGGAGAGTGGATCTGATAATTTCCCATTTGGTAGCAACTCGCTGCATGAAATGAGTAACACTGTCCCCCCCAAAATAAGTAAATTTATCAATGACAGTGTGGTTCCTATCAACAATTATATAGCTGTATGCTATAGGTCTATGTATGGCTGTAACAGAACCTAGACAATCCTCAGTGCTTAGGACACACTCAAAATCAAAATAGCCCACATGGGAAGGGGGGTAACCTTTCCCCGTATTTTTAAAATGGAGTGTGTCCCCAGGCTGAGGGTAAATAATTTTCTGAGTGATGTCGCAGGAAGATGAGTGATTTGTTAGCTCAGACGAATTTTGATATTCTGAGAGACAGTTTCTACAGAAGACTGTCTTTCGTCTGTGGCTGCGAGTAAAGTTCCGTAGGAACTTATCAAACTCTTTAATTACGGCCACATGAGATTCCCCCAATAACAATAAAGGAACTATGACCGAGTACTGTCTGCTACCACGACGACAAAGAGAGACGTGATAGACGCCGTCTGTATGTTTGTGTATTGAATACAAAAAAATGGATAGTTTATTTCTATTCTCCAATTTAGAGATATCCTCCCAAGACAGAGGGAAGGATAAATTGTCGTATTTGACCATTTTCCTAATCCTAGAGTGAGACTCTACAAGTCTCCCTATACGTCTCCACTTCCACCCTTGTTGTGATGCGAGAAAAGCAGCAATGCACTGAATAATGCATGTTTTATTGTTACCAGCAGGGTTTGGGTTGAAGACCTCATACCGTCCCCTTAGAAAGGGGGGATAAGGGACATAATCCCCAAAAACTGACCTTACACTTGCATTACAGATGACGATTTTGAGGAAATCGACATTATATACTATGAAACCACTTCCCTCTGTTTCTGAAAAGAGATCTTCCAGTCGTGTAATCATATAACCCACCCAGCTATCAATAAGATTACCCACATCCTCAAGAGTTACCAGTCTAGCAGGTGTCGTTATGAAGTGTTCCCTAAAGTCATCATCTTCTGTGGGTCGTTGTTTTAAAAGTGTTACCTTTACTTCGAGAAGGATTTTTAATGATGAAGTAAAATTGCCATATCCCCCAAGAGAATTCATGTAATTCTCTATTTCAGATATGTAATAGTCCCTAAAGTTGCTTAGGAGTCCTATAGGGTCTGTGGCG